CTAATTAGGTCACATCGTGTGACCTTGAGGGACTCTCTAAGTTCATGAATTTCGGCTCTACCAGCAACAGGTCGAATATGTGAGGCGACGGCGAAACATTTTTCCGATATCCACTGACAAGATGACTGTGAATGACGAATACACGTGACGGGCAGTGTATATTTCTCAAGCTTTTTTCAGTAAACTCATTCGTTTTTTCTCATATCGGTCCTATCACTACGTACTATACATGTTTCGTTAACTGTCCAAGGCTTTGCTTTGCATGTGTTTTGAGTCAGCTGAACTGTAGTAAGTCTGAGTATTACCTCTTTGATAAAGTGACCATACAATCTAGGTTGCCAATATACATGAGTGGACTGTCTGTTCTTCTAACCAGGGGGTTTGCCGCTGCTTCTGCTGCTAATCACTCAATGGCGTGCGTCCAAAATGAATAATGTGAAATTATTTTTTTTGTTAGATAATCATCAATCACTTACATAAATCGTGTGAAAGTGCAATATATTTGAAAGTGACAAACACGATGAACATCGGCTGTCATACAATGAAAAAATCACATACAGTTCAAAGTAATCTCCCCTTTGGAGTATAATTCAAGTTAATTACAAATGATGTTAAACCCATAGCAGAGTAAACATAAGTGTGGTCCTATCCAGAAGAAAACCAATGCACTTCTAGTTAATCATATTTTCAAATACAATTTGATGTATTTAATCGTTCACCATTTGGACCATTTGATTGCTTGTATAGTAAACTTCAGCACTGGTTTAGTTTTAAACATAAAAATGTTGATTTACAGAACTGTCCATTGGTTGAAACGTGCTCAATGGAGATGGCACAAAAAACGATTACTATTACGTCTGAAACTAGATTACAACGCAAATGAAATGGGATCGGAGTGTAACTGAGAAATATAATCAACTCAAAAGTTTTGATGGATGCACATGGTTTGATGGTAAATCAACCGGGGAGTTCAAACTGAAATTGCGCCAAACACCAGTCTACCTAATTCCAGATAACGTAACCCAGTTCGCTGACTTGTCTCTCCACAACGTGTAAATGACATGTTGGGATTTGATGGTAACAAATCAGCCGTAGAGGAAACGTCTGTGGGAACTATATACTAGAAGATTTCGAGTGTAAAAAGGATCTAAATTTCACCAACATTCAATGTGTCTATAAAACAGCAGTTCATTCTATGAGACGAAGTATACAGCGGTTGAATAACTTGATGCATCCGGACGGGTAAGCGTGATGTCTAGGGCGTAGTAAAATTTAGAATAGAAGAATTTACCAATCAGCGTCTGTCGACCCAGGTTTCCGAATACAACTATTGTTTTGCTGTTTTTTTGAAATCAGAAAGCTCAGCAAAGTTCCACAAATACTGTATACACTCAGCTGATCATTAGGGATAAATGGGTGTTCTTCTAGACAGCGTCAATCTTTGTACAGCAATTGTTGACATGCAACGCTGCCGATCAAATCAGGTGACAGTAACTGTGCTCCATGTTCAACCTCATATTTGCATATTTTACGCCGCCACTGAATTGACGTGTACGCTGTCATTGTGAATGTGCGTTCCAAACGCCATCCGTTCATGTCATGGCGCTAGCCAATTTTGGTTCATAATGACGTAGATCAAAGCGAATGAAATTAACCGTTCATTCGGCAAATCAAACAAAGCTCTAAGGGAATACATTACGACACCTCAGCCTGTACATGCACCAATAAAGGCATGCAGTGAGTGCTGTAGTAAAATAATAGAGAATCGTTGAATAAGGTCGACGAACATTCTAAGCCACTTCGAAATGTTGTTTGTGTTTTAAAAAAAATCAATTTAATAATCTCAGTTAATTTTTGTTTGAGGAGTGGAATGATTCATTCCAATTAATAGATTTCATTTTGTTGGGAAGATTTACACGGAATGTATCTCATACTTACTTAATCTCAACAGTAAAAGTTTATTTACTAGTCCGGGATAATTAGCTTTACTGGGTCCTATTTGTTTCGTGATTCTGTGTCTATTATTGCTACTGTATTCACCATGATTCTATAATACTCGAACAGTGTACAGATAAGGGATGCGTTGATCAGAAAGAAATGACTCCCAACAATATAACAGTCAATTTCGTATTTAATTCTTTCTGGTTTTAGTGAAACGCCATTCGTTCCGAGTATGACAACATTATCCGCGTTGTACCTCTTACCAGCTGCGCAACGCAATTAGTTCTACTCTATATTCAGCATTTAGTTTCGGGTCACGGGATAATCCCATTGTTTTCACTCGGAAGCAAACTAAGACAATCATACGATA